ACGAATGACAAATGTGGGCGTGGCCTGTACTTTTTTTTTTATGACGATGTGCTAAAATGTGTTTCGGTACGCAAAACTTGGTACACACGTCACAGCCCACGACCTTTTCAAGAATGTAAAAAAAAAACGTAATTTTTCTAAAATACTGCTCACTAGCGCCCCCTATTGTGTGGTAGTCTCATAGTTTCTCAGAACTTCACGAATTTTGGCACAGACATTCCTCATGGAATTGAAGACATATTTGTACATACATTCCATTAGCCCCGCCCCCCAACAAGTCGGCCATTTTGAAATATGTGCGTTTTTCAGCCATTTTAAGCACATTCTTGCACACTTCTCCTAGGGGAATGATCGGAAAAATTCCAATCCAGGACACGTTCAGCCCCTATCCAATATGAAACTTAATTGAGAAGCACATTTTTGAAAAATTACTCGTGGAGGTCGTAAGCTAACAGCGAATACACCATTTTTGACGATTTACATGTCGCAAATTACTCCAAACTTCTCGGATATAGTTATTCCGATATTCACGAAACGCTCTATACATATTGCTATTATGATTGCACACATATTTCACATTGCCTTCCATTAGCCCCGCCCCCCAGAAAGTGGGCCATTTTGAAAAATGTGCGTTTTTCAGCCATTTTACGCACGTTCTTGCAAACTCCTCCTAGGGGAATGATCAGAAAAATTCCAATGCAGGACACGTTTAGCCCCTATCCAATAGGATACTTAATTCAGGAGCACATTTTTGAAAAATTACTCGTGGAGGTCGTAGGCTAACAGCGAATACACCATTTTTGACTATTCACATGGCGCAAATTGCTCCAAACTGGTCGCATATAGTTTTTTCCGATATTCACGAAACGCTGTATACATATTGCTATTATGATTGCACACATATTTCAAATTGCCTTCCATTAGCCCCGCCCCCCATAAAGTCGGCCATTTTGAAAAATGTGCGTTTTTCAGCCATTTTACGCACGTTCTTGCAAACTCCTCCTAGGGGAATGATCAGAAAAATTCCAATGCAGGACAGGTTTAGCCCCTATCCAATAGGATACTTAATTCAGGAGCACATTTTTGAAAAATTACTCGTGGAGGTCGTAGGCTAATAGCGAATATACCATTTTTGACGATTTACATGTTGCAAATTACTCCAAACTACTCGGATATAGTTGTTCCGATATTCACGAAACGCTGTATACATATTGCTATTATGATTGCACATATATTTCAAATTGCCTTCCATTAGCCCCGCCCCCCATAAAGTCGGCCATTTTGAAAAATGTGCGTTTTTCAGCCATTTTACACACGTTCTTGCAAACTCCTCCTAGGGGAATGATCAGAACAATTCCAATGCAGGACAGATTTAGCCCCTATCCAATAGGATACTTAATTCAGGAGCACATTTTTGAAAAATTACTCGTGGAGGTCGTAGGCTAACAGCGAATACACCATTTTTGACGATTCACATGTCACAAATTACTCCAAATTACTCCAAACTACTCGCGTATACTTTTTCCAATATTCACGAAACGCTGTATACATATTGCTATTATGATTGCACACATATTTCAAATTGCCTTCCATTAGCCCCGCCCCCCAGGAAGTCGGCCATTTAGAAAAATGTGCGTTTTTCAGCCATTTTACGCACGTTCTTGAGAACTCCTCCTAGGGGAATGATCGGAAAAATTCCAATGCAGGACACGTTCAGCCCCTATCCAATATGATGCTAAATTGAGAAGCAAATAGTTGCTAGCTGAAACGAGGACCTCGTAAGATAACGGAGAATATACCTTTTTGACCATTTATATGTCAGATAACCTACTGAATCCTGCCTCGGCTTTTTTACCGCGGCTTCAAGCAGTTGTGTCAGCACAAAAAGGACTGCATTTACCTCCGTACCGGGACACTGTTTCTCAAAAACAGACAAATACTTACCCATTATTTTAATCGGGATGGACTCCACCTAAATGTGGAGGGAAAACAAATACTATTTAAATATTTAAAGACATTTCTTTGGCATTTCTGTAAGCATTCATACAATGTTTACAAAAATTCCAAATAAATATCTTTCTCACAGACAGACAGACAGACAGACAGACAGACAGACAGACAGACAGACAGACAGACAGACAGACAGACAGACACACACAGACACTGTGTTACTGTTAATTCATATTTTTGTTTTGTTCATACTTTGAATTTTATAAATGTTAATAAAAATGTGTTTCTATACTAGTATCATATTGTGCTTTCTAATGTATTAACTGGGTCCATTTGGAAGACTTTTAGACATGAATTTGTTACACACACCTACACACACTGTACAACACACACCTATGGTCCTTATTAGTAACTTTAGACATCGTAACACAATTTTAAACTACATTTTATTTGAAATTCTACATTTTACTGATACCAACTATATAATATTTACATTGTTCATTACAAAAAAAAAAAAAATTTCTTTAATATAATATGTTTTAATTTATTTTTTACTTTGAATGACAATCAAACATGTGGGAAGAGGGGGGCCGGCCGCCACTGTACATCATAATAAGAATCATTAGAAATAACAATAACATAGAGATAGGAAATTAATGACAGGGAACCCTCTGAATCAGCGCCATATATAGAGTATATCTGAATCAGACTACGAGTGGCTGACTGCATCCAGAGTGTTCGATTCAGAAACGTGACTCTGTCACCCTTTACGTCACAAACAAAGATGGTGGATGAGATCAGATCTATAACACACCATGTAACACACATGGAACGATAGTCAATGGGCCTGCGACTTACCTCTCTCTCCCTCTCTCACGCAGCCAACGTGCAGGCGACAAGACGGGTGACGCGTATGACGTCACTCATTCTAGTGATGGGAATTCCGGCTCTTCTTGGTGAGCCGGATCATTTGGCTCGGCTCACCAAGAAGAGCCGGCTCTTTCGGCTCCCAAACGGCTCTTCAGTTTACCACTTATTATACCTTTTAATTCAATCAAATGTAGCCCTGTTTTGACTAATGATTTATATGTGTACACATATATCACTTAAATGATTCAATACATCCTTTTACAAAAGTAAAAATTACATATAATAATATAAATGATTTGCTGTGGCCAATTGTTTTCATTGCATTTACAGAACCGTGCAACTCTCTGATACCACCCAATGCATTGACTTGCTTATAGAACCACGCTACACAAAACAGATAGCAACACCTATACAAACTATTTTAAAAGAAGGGGCTACTGTATCGACCTATATAAAGTATATAAATAGATTTTTTTTTTCTAAATCCCAAAAATATCCTGCATTTTAGCCATGCCTCATTTCGCTCCATTTGCTCTTTCCAGCGCTGTTTTTGCAGGGGGCTGATTCTGTGAGCTGCAGCTGACCACGCCCCCCTGCAGGAGAGGGGAGCGTGCTCTGAGATCAGCTGCTGGACTGTCAGAAGAGGGGGATAAAAAAAGATCTCCGTCCTCTGTGTTTTATTCTTATAGAAGTAAGAAGAGAAGTAACGGGGCAGAAACCCTCCTTTTTACGCAGCGGTCCAGACATAGACATCAAACGGCGACACATATTCAGTTGCCAGCAGAGTTGGGTGTAACGCGTTACAGTAACGTAACTACTTTTTTCGGGTAAAACGTAGTGTAACGCGTTACTATGAAACATTTGGTAACGTAACGTAGTTTCTTCTTCAATTCTCCGCAACGTTACTTTTACGAGTGACAGTGACACTGCCTACTCAGCTGCGTGCTTACGCATTAGGCACGAGCTCTCATTCCACACTGTACGTGCTACGTGACGTGCTGGTGGTGGCATGAAGACTGAAGAGCAGTGATGGCAACGGCAAGTGAGAAGCAGGCGCAGCCAACGCTAACATTCGAGGGATGGAGGTATTCCCATTACTTCGAACTTGTTGACAATAAGGGGAAAAATGTGAGTGTAAGGTGCACGTTGTGCCCTGGCCAGAAACTTTTGTCCACTGCCGTTAATTCAACTGCCAACCTCATCAAGCATTTGAGAGGAAAACATGCTAGCATGAAGCTAGTAGCTCAAGATCCCCGGAGAAATGAAGATATTTCGAGTCCAAGCCCAAAGCAGCTAAAACTTCAGTTTCTCCTATCTAAACAAGAGTTGGACAAACTTGTAGCTTCGTTCATCGTCGAAGAAATGTTGCCCATCAATACTGTTGAATCTCCCACTTTCAGAAAGATACTTAGCAAGATACCGATAACAGGAGACAGGCGCCCATGGTCAGATCGTAAAACGTTCACTGGCTATCTGGATGAATGCTATCTGAAAATGGAGAGTGAATTAAAGAAAACGTTCGAGAGTTTGCCGTATCTGTCAACCACTGCGGATATATGGAGTAGTCATAACCGAAGCTTTTTGGGAATCACTGTGCACTGGATCAATCCATGCAACTTTAAACGTGAGAAAGCTGCCATCGCATGCAAAAGAATAAAGGGCAGGCATACATATGATGTTATAGGCTTTGAAATGGAACAGATTCACTCAGCATTTGGCCTTTCACATAGGATCACCGCCACCGTTACAGACAACGGGTCTAATTTTGTTAAAGCTTTCAAGATGTATGCACCGCCTGAGCCTAACGAGGAGGAGGATAATGACGAGCAAGGTGTCGTTTTCACAGATGTGGAAGAGTTGCTTGGGGCCACAGAAGGACAGTTTTCTCTTCCCCCGCATTTCAGGTGTGCTTCGCATACACTCAATTTGATCTCGTGCAATGACATCGACAAATGGCTGTCCTCCAACAGTGACTCAAAATGTGTGTACAGGAGTGCAACGGCAAAGTGCGCTGCTCTTTGGACAAAGGCGAGCCGCTCTACCTTGGCCTCTGAGATTGTCGATGAAATCTGTGGAAAAAAAATGATTGTGCCTACATCAACAAGGTGGAATTCCTTCCACGATGCCCTGTCCCGCATCAGTGACATCCCGGCCCAAGATTTGAATACGCTTTGTACTAGACTGGACATCAGAGCCCCGACAGAGCGCGAACATCTATTCCTAAAGGAATACTGCAGTGTTTTGAAACCCCTGACGGTAGCACTGGATATATTGCAAGGGGAAGACAACTGCTACTATGGGACTCTTCTACCAACCCTGGAGACCCTGATGTCCAGGACACTGGCACTCCAAAATGGACTGTCGAGGATGACAGCAAACCTACCGGGTGTAATTGTACAGGTAAGCCGATTCTTAAAGTTAGTAGCCTAGGCATATACATCATATATAGCCACGATGTCTATGATATAAATGTATATGCCTATCCATTAACGGACATTTCTTAATAAATATTCTTAAGATAAATGCATTATGCCTCCCCTGATGGAGCTCTAGTGAGTCGTGTGTCTGAAAACTAGGCTTATTTGTTCTATATAATTTTGTCCTAAGCTATCAGGACGCGATTCGCACCAGTGTTGGAGAGCAGTGAAGCTTTATTGGCTGCCTTGACGTTGCCGAAATTTAAAGTTCGATGGATTGTGGGAGCGGAGCGGAGAGAAGCGGCGCGTGCGCTGCTCATCGCGGAGTGTCGCACTCTACCCCGTGATGAAGAGCCGGCTAACAATAAAAACCGAGAAGCCGCCGCACACAGCAGCGCCAATGAGAATGACTTTTTTTCTTTTGATGAGGAAGAGGAAGACGCAATGTCCATTAGCGCAGACTCGGAGGTATTTGAGTACATGAGATCAGGCTCAGAGTTAGAAGTCCTCAACCGTTTCCCCCGAGTGAAAGCTGTGTGTATGAAATACAACACTGCCACACCATCCAGTGCACCGGTGGAGAGGCTGTTCAGCCTGGGAGGTATTGTGCTTTCCCCCAGAAGAAACAGACTCTCAGATAAACGTTTTGAAAGACTGCTCCTGATGAGGTATAATCGCACATTTTGTACTGATGTGGAATAGGTTGCCTGCCACCCATGCTATAGACATAGCTCAAGCCTATGCCTAATATCCTCTTTTTTTATCTGCCATCATACTGTGAAGAAGGGTGAGCATATGCAGTGAACATAGCCTTTTAATTCTGAGGCCAGTCCTGCTTTAAGTTGTTCTTGATTTTATTTTGGCTAAAATGTCTTTGCTTCCAAGCTGTATTATGCCATTTTATTTTATTTACACAAGCCATCGATATCAAGACATTTTGAAGTTATTCTTTTTCTGTTGGATTTACATGAGGCATGTTTTATTTTGAGACACATGAGCCATTTTGAGGTTATCATGTTGTTCCTAAGGAGCCTATTGATATGATTTGCACTAGCTTTGCACCTATTTTGGGGCTAGCCTGTTTAATGATTATGATTTTATATTGATATTTGATATTGATAGCCCAATGTTTTGTTAAGTGCTCTGTGGCATTTTTTTATAATAAAGAGCACAAAAGAAATATCTGTTATGTCCTCCATATATGTAGAACTTTATGTAAGCCTACACATTTAGGAACAGAGATGGAGTTCTGCCCAAAGTCGAGCAACATAAAAGTAACGTAAAAGTAACGAGTAACGTAAAAAGTTACTTTCCTTGCAGGGTAACTAAGTAAAGTAAGGGATTACTTTTTTAAAGAAGTAACGAGTAATGAGCAAACACTACTTTTTAAAAGTAACTTCCCCAACACTGGTTGCCAGTTACTTTGACATTAGGGCAGGGATATCTAGATACTTTCCAAGGTTTGACATAATGAATTGTGCTACTTTTAAAGCAAGCAACGATTTTTTCAAATCTGTAATCAAAAAGCTCCTCAAAAACACTATCAAAGTTGCTACGTTAGTTCAAACAGTAACAACGGACTACTTTTCTTAGCGGATGCATGTCAATTTAAATCAATACATACAACTATTTTTTAAATCAATAAAATCATTTTATAAATCCATAAAAGCATTTCCATTAATATTGGGAATCATGTCGTTACTTTGTTGAGAATATGGCCATGTAATAAGCGGGATAATGTGCACATTGCATAATGTGCCTTCATGCCGATCTAGATCCCTCCGCAAAAATGAGAGCCGGCTCCCGTCGTTCACTTAAAACAGCGACCGACACATCACTAGCTCATTCTCTTGCATGCTTTTGGCGCACTGAGAACCGATTTAAAAGCTTACATATTATATTCCACAAAAAACAACAACGACGACCACCAGAGACCACCAGGGACCACCAGAGACCACCGGATTCGTGCTCTGGACTGAATTTGCTGTGAAAAAACGTGAGTCACTCTATAGGCATTGTATTGTAGTGTGTGGATTTACTAGCTTCGCTCTGCTAACACAGTCCCTACCATGCTAACGGAGAACACTGGTAGCTAACACTATCGTCAATATAGACACGGCGTTATACAGTGTTACATTAACTAATGTCGACATAATTTGGTCTATATGTTTGAATATGGTTGTTTGCACCGTTTAAAACACAATATACACACGTTTATTCAAGTTTAGTTTATGTATTGCAACACGTGTTCTGTGCGCACATGCTAACTGCTATGTGCGTGTGTGAGCAGGGGCTGTCAACAATATGTGGCTTCAGCTTCACACTTTGCCAATAATGTCATTTCATTTGAGCATATTTATATCTGTTTAATAGGTTGTGGAAGTGCACCCCGACATATTTATTGATCTTCTTTATGGTATTTATTACTTTGAGTCCCTAGTATGCTAACGGAGCACACTCGTAGCTAACACTATCGTCAATATAGACACGGCGTTATACAGTGTTACATTAACTAATGTCGACATAATTTGGTCTATATGTTAGAATATGGTTGTTTGCACCGTTTAAAACACAATATACACACGTTTATTCAAGTTTAGTTTATGTATTGCAACACGTGTTCTGTGCGCACATGCTAACTGCTATGTGCGTGTGTGAGCAGGGGCTGTCAACAATATGTGGCTTCAGCTTCACACTTTGCCAATAATGTCATTTCATTTGAGCATATTTATATCTGTTTAATAGGTTGTGGAAGTGCACCCCGACATATTTATTGATCTTCTTTATGGTATTTATTACTTTGAGTCCCTAGTATGCTAACGGAGCACACTCGTAGCGAACACTATCGTCAATATAGACACGGCGTTATACAGTGTTACATTAACTAATGTCGACATAATTTGGTCTATATGTTTGAATATGGTTGTTTGCACCGTTTAAAACACAATATACACACGTTTATTCAAGTTTAGTTTATGTATTGCAACACGTGTTCTGTGCGCACATGCTAACTGCTATGTGCGTGTGTGAGCAGGGGCTGTCAACAATATGTGGCTTCAGCTTCACACTTTGCCAATAATGTCATTTCATTTGAGCATATTTATATCTGTTTAATAGGTTGTGGAAGTGCACCCCGACATATTTATTGATCTTCTTTATGGTATTTATTACTTTGAGTCCCTAGTATGCTAACGGAGCACACTCGTAGCGAACACTATCGTCAATATAGACACGGCGTTATACAGTGTTACATTAACTAATGTCGACAGAATTCGGTCTATATGTTTGAATATGGTTGTTTGCACCGTTCAAAACACAATATACACACGTTTATTCAAGTTTAGTTTATGTATTGCAACACGTGTTCTGTGCGCACATGCTAACTGCTATGTGCGTGTGTGAGCAGGGGCTGTCAACAATATGTGGCTTCAGCTTCACACTTTGCCAATAATGTCATTTCATTTGAGCATATTTATATCTGTTTAATAGGTTGTGGAAGTGCACCCCGACATATTTATTGATCTTCTTTATGGTATTTATTACTTTGAGTCCCTAGTATGCTAACGGAGCACACTCGTAGCGAACACTATCGTCAATATAGACACGGCGTTATACAGTGTTACATTAACTAATGTCGACAGAATTTGGTCTATATGTTTGAATATGGTTGTTTGCACCGTTTAAAACACAATATACACACGTTTATTCAAGTTTAGTTTATGTATTGCAACACGTGTTCTGTGCGCACATGCTAACTGCTATGTGCGTGTGTGAGCAGGGGCTGTCAACAATATGTGGCTTCAGCTTCACACTTTGCCAATAATGTCATTTCATTTGAGCATATTTATATCTGTTTAATAGGTTGTGGAAGTGCACCCCGACATATTTATTGATCTTCTTTATGGTATTTATTACTTTGAGTCCCTAGTATGCTAACGGAGCACACTCGTAGCGAACACTATCGTCAATATAGACACGGCGTTATACAGTGTTACATTAACTAATGTCGACATAATTTGGTCTATATGTTTGAATATGGTTGTTTGCACCGTTTCAAAACACAATATACACACGTTTATTCAAGTTTAGTTTATGTATTGCAACACGTGTTCTGTGCGCACATGCTAACTGCTATGTGCGTGTGTGAGCAGGGGCTGTCAACAATATGTGGCTTCAGCTTCACACTTTGCCAATAATGTCATTTCATTTGAGCATATTTATATCTGTTTAATAGGTTGTGGAAGTGCACCCCGACATATTTATTGATCTTCTTTATGGTATTTATTACTTTTGAGTCCCTAGTATGCTAACGGAGCACACTCGTAGCTAACACTATCGTCAATATAGACACGGCGTTATACAGTGTTACATTAACTAATGTCGACATAATTTGGTCTATATGTTTGAATATGGTTGTTTGCACCGTTCAAAACACAATATACACACGTTTATTCAAGTTTCGTTTATGTATTGAAACACGTGTGTTCTGTGCGCACATGCTAATATGCTATGTGTGTGTGTGTGTGTGTGAGCCGGGGCTGTCTGGGCTCAGGCCGTTGGGAAGTTAAACAGTATGTGGCTTCATACTTTGCCAATAATGTCATTTCATTTGAGCATATTTATATCTGTTTAATAGGTTGTGGAAGTGCACCCCAACATATTTATTGATCTTCTTTATGGTATTTATTACTTTGAAAACATGTATTTAAATGTATAATTTTGTTTATTTTTTATATTTCCATTGTTTTTTCTGTACAATTATACTTAAAATTCAGGGTACTCAACTGTTCATTTTTTTCATTTCTTATTTATAACACATTAAACATGTCTACTGTAACACATTCAAACAAAACCTCAACAGCTGTTCTCATGCTCTCCACCACATTCTAGTTCATTCTTTTCTCCACATATATTGCCACACCCCCTCCACTGTTATTCATTCTGTTTGTATAATTCAGTTCATAGCCATCCATCTCAAGTCCACACCTTTCTCAGCACTGATCAAGGTCTCTGATATTGCAATGATGTTGAATGGGTTCTTAAACTGACTTAGATATTCTTGGTGGTTTTAGTATCTATCATACTTTCAAATATAAATTGCTCTTTAATATTGTAAAGCTTCAGTATTGTTTTGTATTATTTGACATCACCTTCATCATTTACTGAATTATTTTAAACGCATTTAATGCCATATTAGTTACTAACCAGTGTTTTATATACAAGGTAAAGCTAAATTGTTTATATCATAATGGATTATAAATATTTTCTATGACAACTGTGCATTATGTGTAACTTTATTTTTCTTTTGGTTTTATATAAAGGTTAAGATGCCACGGAAGAGGTCCTTCAAAATGAGGCGGTTCCCTCCGAAGGCAGTTCTCCCTGATGCCAAAGGTAGGCTGCATGAATCTGTTGAATGCACATGCGCTACTTCTGCTACTTCCACTACTGTCCAGCCAAAGATAGTTGGTAGCAAGCATTTGAGGTTGGCTAGAAAGGGAGATCAGAGTGCCAAGTTGTGTACTGTTGCAGCTTTGATAAGGCACAAGCTTTCCTGTGTGTGCACATGGAAGGCTTCTGTGCTGGACTCCATTCAGGAGGAAGGAAGGAAGCTAAATATTGAACAACTGGGCAAAGGCGTTGACAGTCAGTTTGAGATGTTTGACTCACTCTGGAGTATGTCCACAGGTACTGAGAGTTATGGTGTTTGTTCTGGGACTAAGCGTGACGGTGTGTGTGCTCAACTGTATGAAGCATTGCAGCTAC